TTATTTATCGCAAGATCTACAGTTTGGGTGAGGGAATATTAATATCGCACTGTGTTCAACTACACGAAGGCTTTTGGCGACGGATCACGTAATATCTACACTTTGGAAGCTTAGTATAAATACTGTAAAAATGCTTCTTGCGTGAAAAATTTGTTAGTCTAACCTCCTGTGTGGCTTCCAGAACTACGTAGGTAATCTATCCTTCGAAAAACTCTCTCCACTGACATGCTCTTACCCGTGCCGGCTTATACATTGGGTGCCCAGGTGCCCGAAAGGGCCAGGATAAGCTGATCTTAACCAGACTTTTTCGGTTATAAATTTCCATTCACCTGTGGATTTTCTGCGCCCCGGGTCCGAAATGAGCTTAAATCGGCACTGGCTCTTACCCTAAAGTATATTTTCACTAAAACAAAAAATTTGAATTTTAGTAGAATTAAATTTTGATTCATACTCACATTTCCCCACGAGAGAACTTCAAGGTACCGTTTCGATCCGTTGCAAACCCTTTGGGATTAGTTATTTTATTTTCTGTGTTTTTTTCCAAATTGTATCTGCTCCTATTAGAATCTCGACTTCTAAATCCAAACTAGAAGTTTCTGTAAGCATTCATGCTTCGAACATAATTCACTTGGGATTTCAATAGGAGTAGTGATGGAATGTTTGTTAGTAATTTTAACATTAGCGAAGAGTTAAAGATGAATCTCTCGTTCCCCCCACCACTACCACAAAAAAAACCAAAAATTCACTAACTCGCCGCTAATAATAGGATGTTTTTTTTTTTCGTTTAATCTAAGGAAAAATCACGATTCAATGTTTTTAGTTTTTCAGTTTAGTTTAGTTTTAATCCAAGTACAATTTCTTTAAAAATAGTGGAAGTACTTTCTTATAACTAAGTTATATTTTTCTATCCAGGAGGGTAATTTGTTTTTGCTACACACGTTTGTAATAAATTCCTATGTAATGCTTGTTTATCGGTATTTAGATGCGAAACATTTTCTTCCAATGATTGGATCTTAAAAGCACAATTTAAGTTTGTTACATTATCAACAGATTTCTATTTCGACAAACGAAAGGGTGAACAAGAAAACATTCTCTTGCAAGTCTTTTTTTTTAAGATTAAGTTTTACGACACTGAGAAATGATAGCCCGCACGTTAAGAACAAAATAAAAACATTTAAAAAAACATTTGATCTTTTTCCTTACGCACACATCAAACAATTTTACTTTGAATGAATTGTAGCTATTGGTATGTAAACATTTAATTTTTTAAAATTCATTTTAAATTTATACTGTAGAAAAACTTTATACATTTTGCCCCAATATGATCATATAGTACAAGAAATTTCGAGGCATTCAACTTAATCTCTAGTGAATGTTTGCTATTCTAATTGTGCCCCTTCTTCCAAGTCTTTCAATGATCGTGATAGCTTTGTAGGCGTGGTCACGAATTCTTTGTGGCCGCGGTAGCCTAGTAGTTAAGGTATCGGATCGTGGCTGCTTGTCACAAGTTCGAGCCCAGTACCCCTAAAGACCCGCCGTGTAGAGGAGCGATACAGGTTAAATCTGTAGAGAGTTCAATCGTCATCCCGTTGGTGTGGTGTGGTAGTTAGGAGAGGTGGTGCCAGCTCAGGTGTCATCCTCGTCCTTTGACCAGGGTTCAAAATTACGAGGTCTGTCGCCAAAAGCCCTCGTGTAGCTGAACAGTGCGACGTTAATATTCACTCACTCGAGAGTGGTGTGGTCGAATCACTGGTTCGAGTCCTAAGAGGAAGATTTCGCCGTGAGAGGGATTGATGCACATTAAATCTGTGACTCGAAGTCCTTCATTTCTTTTGCATGGTGTGGGAGATAGAAATGACTGCGGTAACCTAGTGGTCAAGGTAACGGATTCGTTGCTGGCATGTCATGAGTTTGAGCCTTGTACCACTGAAGACCAGCCGTGCAGAGGTGGCCGATGCACTTTAAATACGTCGATGCTTAGGAGAGGAGGTGGCTATATCAAGTGTCCACCTCATCACTTGACCATGGTTCAAAAATTACGAGATTTGCAACCAAAAGCCCTCGTTGTAGCTGACTAGGATGACCTTAATATTCACTTACTCACAAACTCGTGGGAGTTAGAAGAGTGTGGTGCCGGTTCAGATGTCGACCTCGTCATTTAACCACGGTTCAAAATTACGACGACCGTCACCAATAGCTCTCGTGTTGCTTTAATATGCGATTTTAATACCGGGTGGGCAAAAAGTCCGTAAAAACTTTAAAAATTCATAAAATCCGGAGAAATGAACGGGAAAAAAAACTGTTTGCAGGATCAGCATTAGTATGTCACGGGATTTTTTTAAGCTAGAAAAAAATAATTCGAAAATCATCCAGTAGGTGGCGCTGTTACAAGTGTCTGTGGTGGAAATATGCAAATTAGACGGCTATAAAAACCTTTGCTCTCAATGAATCCACATTCATTTCACCATTACAAACAGTGAATGTGAACAAGGATGCTCAGTGCTCCGGATAAAGCTATGTTGGTGAAGTTATTTTACATGAACGAGGAATCAGCGACCATTGCCTTGCGTAAATTCCGAGTTCAGAAAAATGTGAAGAGTGGAGAAGGCCCTTTAACACCTGCAGGTCTCTTAAAGCTTGTTAAACGTTTTGAGGAAACTGGAAAGCTGGAAGATCGAGCACGAGCCGGACGACCATGCTTGAAAGAAGAACGTGCACCCTGCATTGCTGTCGAAATGGAAGCGATTGCGTCCGAAGCAGCTTCAGGGACGAGCAGTGCTCGTGAAGGTGCCAGACGATTGGGCTTACCACCATCATCCGTCAGCAATATTCTTTGTCGAATCCTCCAGCTGTACCCGTACAAATTGCAATCGTGCCATGAACTTTTGCCAGCAGATACCGCACAGAGGGAAGCATTTGCGAAGTGGGCCTTCTCTAAAATGGAACAGGTTCCCACCTGAGTTTTTAACATTTTGTGGACAGATGAAGCTCATTTCTCGCATCATGGTGACGTTAACAACCATAACTGTCGCATTTGGGCGACCTCTAATCCACGTGAGTACACACAGAAGCCATTGCATTCCCCAAAAGTGACAGCATGGTGTGATTTCACGGGTTCATTTATCATAGGACCCTTCTTCTTTGAAACGCAGTGCCCAGTAAATGAATGGATAACGGAAAGGGTAAATACTCAGCGTTATCTAACGCTTCTGCGGGAGACTGCCCTGCCATGTTTAATTCAACGAGGTCAGATTTCGAATGTCACGTTCATGCAGGGTGGAGCAACCAGTCACACTGCTAACCCGGTTAAGGCATTCCTGATACAGACGTTCGGGGAAGACAGAATCATTAGCAGATGTTGCAGGTACCCTTGGCTCCTCGGTCTCCAGATTTAACACCGGCAGACTTCTGGTTAAGGGAATATTTGAAATCTCGCGTGTATCTATCCGGTCCATCAAGCCTGTCGGAACTGAAAGATGCGGTCCGCAGAGAAGTATCCTCCATACATCCGGACATGTTGCACTCTGCCGTTGCTGGATTTGTCACTCGTCTGGAATGTCTTCTACCCTGTGGTGGTGGTCATGTGGAACATATTCTGGTGTAATAAAGTTGTGAAAGTTTTCTGTTCATTATTTATGCATTGTTTCTTTGATTTGCGTACATCAGCGCCACCTACCGGATGATTTTCAAATTATTTTTTCTAGCTTAAAAAAAAATCCGTGACATACTAATGCTGATCCTGCAAACAGTTTTTTTTTTCGTTCATTTCTCCGGATTTCCTAAATTTTTACGGACTTTTTGCCCACCCTGTATATAAACACTCACACATCATCATTATTTGCAGAAACAGTTGTGAAGGTCCCTTAGGACCTCACTTTGAGAACGAGAATAATTTTGAGTCACAGAAGAACCAGTAGCCATTTTTATAAATAACTTTCTTTATTTGGTTATCTTTCCCAAATAGAATCAAAGACTTATTAACAAATACTTTTACTAATATTATGAGGTTTTAAAGGTAATATCCTTTAAATTAACTTAATTAATTAATGATCTAATTAATTTATTAAATAACGATCACGCAGAAATTACCACGATAAGAGATCCCAGAGTTATATTTATGTTCTTATTGAACATTTAACTTTAATCTCACTCTTAAAACTTTAATGAGACTTTAAACACAAATCTATATTTACCGCTCGGAATCTCAATTCTTGAGATTAAATATCTCTAACAAGAATTCTGCAATTTACATCCACTATAACTTTCTGCTTCAATCTCTATCTCCTACTGCTCTAACTTTACTATTTCGTTTGACTTAAATACTGAATCTAATCTGCATAACAAGGAATCCTGTCCGCTTTTTGGAGTTGATTGGAAATAGGTAGGGAATTAAATTTCCCTAAAAAGGTCGACTCAGAAGGTTAGTGATAAAGTTCCGTATAGATTCGTCACACAGTATATTGATCGAGTTCTTGCAAACTAAAAATCTTTATTCTTGAAATATCAAACAATTACTTTACTTCTTTAAGATGTATGTTACATCATAAAATATATATTATTTGATTTGATAAAAAAAAAATAAGAGTAATTGATCGATCGATCGAAACTATGCTCTAGATTGAGTAATAATATTTATATATATAAAAAGTTTCTGGTATAAAAAATTCTACAATATTTTACATTTGTATTGATTCCAATTAAACAATTAACAAATAAGTTAAAAAATAAATTTTTGAAGTCAATTCCTACTTGGGTCAATAAAGAAAAAATTTATTTTTTAGTTACTTTTTATTAAATAAATTACATTTTTTTAAATATGTATATACATATGACAGAATCACAATAATTAGCAACATAGAAAGCGATTTTCCTTGCAATTTTCCATTTTCCTTGTGATATAAGGTGTTAGACTATTATTTTTGTTTGTTACTATTTATTCATTAATTAAATTTAATTATTCCAATAAAATAGTAAAGAAATCACATTCTCAGAAATTGGGCCATCCCAGGTTCGATTCAAACCCACGAACTTTGGATTAGAAGTCCAACGCACTATCAATTGTGCTACAGAGACACAACAAACGACTTTCCTTTTTTTATATGCTGTCGGACTCTTAGTTTTGTTTGTTACTATTTATTTATTAATTAAATGTAATTAATGAATTAATATTTTTTTAAAAACTGTATCAACATCAAGTGTCATCCACTACAAGTTTAAAAAAATGTATTTGAACTTGAGTGGATCAATAAAAAGTACTTTATTAAATATTGAAAATTTGAACAAGATATATATATAGAGAGAGAATTTGAATTAAAATAGTAGGAATTGAAAAATTAACGTTGTTATGTATTGATTCCCAGATGTGTTATATAATTTCTTCTTAACTTCTCGCACTCTAAGGCAACACTAGGTTAATGGCCACGGACCTCGTAGTTTTGAACCACGTTTAAAGGATAAGGGTGATGCCCGAGCAGGTCTCCGCTCTCCCAAATTTCCTCACCTCGTCAACGTAAGTTCCTTAAGCAGCAGATTTAACGGTAGTCAATCCTTCTTCACGTTGGGTCTTCAATGGCACCAGGAGTCGTACTCATGACTCTCTTGCCATAAGTCTGTGACCTTGAACGCTCCATTAACTCATTCACCATGAGCACTTAATTAACATGTGAAACATATCTAAAAAAGGATGAAAATAAATTCTAAAAATGTTTTGTAAATAATTGAGATTTAAAGTCATCGTTATTTGCTTGTTAGATCGGCTAATTCTACTTTTTTTTGACATCACTGCATATTCAAATAATTATTATCTATTTAAAAATAGTCCTTCGAAATTTTACTTCAATGCAAAAGTATTCAACAATGATGCCCCCATGGTTGTTATTGTTTTAGGACAAAATTATGAAGACAGACGGAATAATATTTAATAATGGCTACGTTCCACAACACAAGGGAATACAAAACATATACGCAGCCCACGTTTCAGAACACATTTAACATCTTACAAAGGAGAGCGCAGGGGACTGATGAATATTTCCCTCCCCTTCAGTTCCATGCAGAAATTGGGGAGGTGGAGATAGGTCGTGTCACCATCTATCGTCCCTTCGGGGAATTTCGCTGAGCTAAACCGTACTGTCACCTGTATGGTGCTCAAGGCCAACGACAGGCGTACTTCTAGCCCCTTGCCACGATGCATTTCGTGGGCCTCGATCTGACTACGTCAGACAGGTGGCATTAGAAACAACAGCAACAACACAAAGGAGAAAGACAAACTTTCTACCCCGTGTGAGTGCAGGGACGTCTTTAGACTTCTTGAGGCCCTGGGCCACTGCGCAAAAGTAGGCCCTGGGCTCATACATAAATGGAAGCCCACCTATGACTCTTAAAAGAAGTTAATACATAGCATACGTAGTCAAACACTCGTACAAACAACAAAACCAGACAAATAATGTGTGTGAATTACAGTTTCACAAACTGACTCGACCGACTGCCACCTTTAGACTGAATGAGTAATGATAATAGACCCAGACCTATACGCGGATGACGGTCATCACATGTAGCCAGTTGATACATCGTCAGAAATTCCCAATGTTTACTAGAATATAACCGGAAATAACATTTGAATGCTGAAATTATTCGAATTACGATCTTTATAAGGCTGTCGAGAACAAGACGAGGCCCTTAGTGCAGCCTGGGCCTATTTGGCACTCATCCCTGTGTGTGCACTAAAAATTTCCCACCCAAAAGAACAAGTAGCGCCACCTGGCTGTCGCTAATAGTAAAGGGAAGGTAGCTTTTAAATATACAGTGTTATGCAACATATTTAAAGGAACAATTTACATTGAAATTTAAAAATATATCCCAATTTCCCTAAAAAGAAGAAGAATTTTAAATTTTTGATTAAAATCTTTTTTTGTTTCACAAACATTTTCCATAATTTCATTCGAACCGAAATGTAATATCTATTAGCTCTAGTTATGAAAGTTTTGCATTATGCTGTTATTAGTTTAATAGTAGTTAATTATGTGTTTTTGTGTGTTGTTTATTTAAGTCTATAAAATGTTATGCTACACATTTGATTTTTTTTTATAAATTCTTCAATTTAACCCTTAACAATTTGAAACAATAGTTCGATAAATATTCCTTAAAATTGACTGTGTGAAAGATGATAATTAGAAGGTGTTTGTTCATGCCTTAATGGTAACTTTTTTTTAACTTTTTATTTTATTTATCATATTTTGTTTGGTTTTCTTACTTCTGTAAGCCTCGTATGATACTTGTGGTGCACGAGATTTATTTTATCCGTCTTCAATGAAATTGTTTTTTAAAAAAAATGGTAATAACATGCAAACTAAAAGAATTTGCGTAAGTTTTTCTTAAATTTAGTCTTATATAATAAGAACTCTCTAAAAATTCTTTAAAAAAATTAGAAAAAACATATGCTACTTACTTCATATTTACTATTTGAAACAAAAAAAAAGAAAGAAAACATTTAAGGAAAATTAACACATTGTGGTTTGTGTTAATACGGGTAATTGTGTAGGACTCCGATTGTGCTGCTTAGGGTGACAGTAAAAACTGTGGAATAGCCCAGTAAATACAGAAATGCTTTAAAAAAAATTTTTAATACATTAAGTTTTTGAAATATAATGAGCTAATATAAAAAATTTTAATTCAAATTGTATTTTAATTTATATAGAAAATCTAAACAAGAAAAAAGTCGTTAAGAGGGAATCAGAAGTGGGAGAGATCTGACCAACCAATCCGGAACCCGTATAAGTGCAGGAAACTTGCACGGAAATTGAAAAGTTCCGAAGCCAGCAAAAAACTGCCCTGTTTTCTGTTCTTTCTTCCAGATGGGATCTTTTTCTCAAGGTTTCTACCCTAATCTTTTCATACATCTTTAAATATGTCAGAAAATATCAATGAGCTTTTTAACACTTTTCTTTAGGCTCTAGTCTGCAATAGTCTATGGCTCTTTTAACTCATGTATCCAAAGAATTAGAGAAAAAAAAAGTATTTGGCGCTACATTTTTTTTAAGTTCCTCTCCGAGGAGTGCGCTACCCACTTTGAGAAACACAGCTCTTTAGATATTCATGGTCCTACAAACTCTAAAGAAAACGTTAACCTAATCTGCGTTTGCTCTTACACATTTATAATTTTCTTTTCAAATTTTTATTTGGCTCGGGAACCCCGGAGTTAAACTCAGTGTTACAGAAATTTGGATGCACAAACAAAAAGATAATTTTATCTCGGTCAATCTAAGATAATGGTTTCTGAGAGGTACAATAAAAAAATTCTGCGTACATATAAATGTTAGCTCGACTCAGAAGTGAAAATTCTTTATAGGTATTTTAAATAGATGGAGTAATAAAAGTTAATTAAGAATGAGTAGGGTATGCGTTTAACGTTTTTTCTTGTCTGTGAAATGCCTGTGATTTAAATTAAAATTAATTACGTTATGCATTTTATGTAGAAGAATTTTAAATTTTGTAGTTTTATTAATAATTGATTATTTTTTTAAAAGCATTTTCAAAAGCTCATATAAAGCTAACCTTACATCAAAGCTACATGACTTTAAAGGATGAAACTAAGCCTTAAGTTATATAATAAAATCTTACGGTGTAATATTATATATGTTTTTAAAAAATGTATGTGTGTATGTATTATTACATTCTGTGTCTTTTTTCCATCTGATTACAAAAGAGAGTTAGGAGATATTACAAATAAGTAACATAATTTTTTTAAAGTCAATTCCTACTTCGTTGGGAAATCGTACTGGTGCCATCTGTTGAGCCAGTTGTAACTTTGAGAAATAAGGCAGGATAAATTTAAAATTAAAAAATAAAATTTAATTAGTGAATATCAATACTTGAAAAAACTGAATTAACACCAAGTGTAATCCACTACAAGTTTAAAAAATGTATGTGAACTTGAATGGATGACTAGAAAATATTTTATTAACGATTGAAAATTTGTACAAATATATATATATATATATAAATATATATATATATATAAATCACAACTTCATAATCAATTAAAAAAAATTGAAATTATATGAATCTTATAATACTAAATCCCATTTCAAAATATCAACGTTGAATATAGAAGATATAATTCCAACGTTTTCAAATTAAATTAAAAAATTATAAAGTATCCAAGGGCAACCTCAGACTTAGGACCGATAAGTGGTGTAATACATATATATATATTCAGTTTAATTATGCACACATATAATTATTTTAAAAAAAGAAATTTTTACTATTCTTTAGAAAATGCTAATAAATTATATTGTTTAATGCTAATAATTAATATTTTTTTTCTGAGAAGTGCAAGTAGTCATTTACACGAAAAAATGAAATAAAAAAAGTAAATGTTAAATTTTACATTCTCTTTATATCGAATCTCTGCTCGCATTGGTGTAATTACTAACCGAAAGAAGATATATATACCTCTGAAAATCAACAAAAATCATTCTTATCGCTATGAGTTAATATCAGTTTTTGTAATAGCCAATGGGTAGTAAGTCAGTCTTAATCTATTTTAATAATAATTACTAAAGATATTTATCTATCAATGCAGATACTCGACTCAACGCCGAACCACAAAATTCCTAATCCTGAGTTTCTAGATTGCTCGAACAATTCCAATATCAATTTTACAACTATGATTTATACTGACATCAACACGTCTTATCTCTATCTTTCTCCCTGAACTCAATTCATTTAACTTTAAGATATCTGACTACCCTAAAATCACGATTTTTTTTCAAAAATTGACAAATTTTGCTTATTATTTTATTTTGTAGGACATTCTATTAGCTTAATAAAAATACCAAGTTTTTTATTTTCCATTCACTAGAACAAAAACTACAAGTGTTTTAGTAAAAGCAAATGTCTTAACTTTACACAAGATGTCAAACTTTAAAATGCGTTTTACACGAAATGTGTTTTTTGCGAAGAGTTCAAAAGGGGACAGAGATTGCTCAAAAAGTTTTGAATATAATTTACTGACATTTTTGTGTGTGTTCTGTATAAGAGTAGAAGTGTTTTGAGAGAGACCTTCAGATTTATCA